GAATATTTAAGAGGCATACCTATAAGTTTAATGAAGGTCTTGATTCCAAACTAGGTCGTTATCATAGAGGAATTTAGCTATAAAGTGGAATCTTAAGGTTGGGTGGATAGGTTGAGTCGTTATCAATATTTAGCTCATAAATGAAGTCGTAGATATCTAATTGATACAAGTTTTAAAGCATTAGAAATCTAAGACATAGGGATATAAATTTCTTGAAGAATTCAAACCCTAATTTGACCTTTATAAAGTTGATTCAATCTGATTATTCAAAGACACAAGATGAAGTGCAAATTCCACACAGGTCGAAGTTAGGGACATAGAATGAAAAGAAAAAATCACATGGGTAGTAGCTAGGGATATGAGATGAAGTGTAAATGGAACACGACCGTGTCCCTTAGTCAAGCAAGCCATTTGTCATAACAAACAAGATATGTGGGCCTACCATATATGTGTTGTTACCCTACTTTTGGCTATAAATAGAGAAGTTAGGGTTTTATTTTGGAGAATCTTTCAATTCCAACAGCCACACTACTCTTGTAAGCAAACTTTGTAACTCTAAACAAACCCTTTCTTGGTCGAAGGGAAATTGAAGCTTTTGGTTAAATTATTGTAAGATATTAACAAGTTTTAATTCTAAACTTATCCTTTTTTAGTATTTTAGGTTTTTCTATATGATTTGGTTATGATTGTGTGATTAATTGATTAGAGTGCATACGAGTTCTTTGATCATTAAAATCTATTACTAGCTAAGTATTCAAGTCCATGTAATTGCTTATCTAAACTTACTTGTGGTAGTAACTAGGGATTAATGATTATTTTTTGTGTTTTTGCTTAATCTCTTGGAAAATATAAAATTAGATTACATCTTTCTAGTGTTTAGAAGGATGGTTTAGCTTCACCTATTTTTCTCTACGTTAATGTCGTTATTGGATTAAATCTATCTAGCGTCTAGTAGATTGTTCAATATCTAGGGAATTAATCAAGTATCATATATTTAGTTAACAAATCACTAAGAAAAGATTGAGAACAACATACATGATTATCTTACGATGAATATTCATGTTAAGGATAGGCAAAAAATTCAATCAATGATCAACGACTAAACTAAAAGTGGACACGAAACTTCAACCAAGGCCTTTCCCATTATTGTTATTTAATTTTACTTTTAATTGCTTACATTTTACCATAAACACAAATCCTCATTTAATTTCTTTGCATTATAGAAAAATCATACAATAGAGACTATTAATTAGGCCACTTCCCTATGGGTTCGATTCTTGTTTGGCCTATTTACACCCTCGTGGTCGGGTTCCATGAGGAAAACAAATAACTAATTTATTGGCGATACGACTCGCCATCACTCATACTCCTCATTTTCTTTCTAGCCTCAATTAGTTCTTCATCTATAAAACTTTGATAATCAATATTTTCACTTTGTAGTTTTTTAATTGGTAAGTAGTTTTTATTATCACTACTAATATTCTCTTCATGCTCATCATCGCCTAAATCTCTACCATTTGTAACATCATCATTTGTACCAACTATATTATCACCCAAAGCACCATTACCTAATACACCATCGAGTAGACCGCAACCTCTTATGTTAAAAGTTCATTCTCATCTAAGTTGTCATTTATATCTTGAGTTAAAACTCTATTACCACTTTCACAAATTCCAACATTAACTTTTTCGTAAATCCTATAATTAAATATGCCTTTGCCACACATTTCTTAAGTTAAAACTCTATTTTCTTCATCTATACCCCGAGTTGAATTAAGTAGCATTATATCACCATATTTTTCTACTTCCTCCCGTACCCGTACATATCTACGCATCTTTGTTCACACGTAACACCTAACATTTTCATAAACACCTCACTCTCATCTATAATTAAACCTTTCTCACTTAAACTTAACTCAAGTTGTTTAAATATCATAATCCTAAGTGTCTTATATCCACATTCGATAACAAAGTCATAGAGGTCTTTTAGTGTCATAAAATTAGGATTTGCCGACCACTCATCTAATTTAACCCTAACCTCTCCAACATAAGAAATGGAATTTAAGTTGTTGAATACCTCAACAATATAAAAATTCACCTTAAAATGCTTAACCATCCAATTATATCATAATAAATTAAACCAAAATCAACAAAAGCCCAAAACATTAATTCAAATTTTCTAATGAATGCCTTACATATATGCAACTACATTATATATGATATGAAATTATGTATGCACTTTATGAATTGATTTGCGTTTATAGTTATTCAATGGATTCAAGTAAAGTTCCAAACCCATCAACAAGGAAGGAAATCAATTATGTAAACCATTTATGAACAAACAAAAGCCCAACATATTTGTGTGTTTATATTTACTACACGTATATTCAAAAAATTCACTCGATTGAATTATAAACCCTAAAGCCCAATCGTTTACTCAGCTCATTCTATGGAAAAAAAACACCAAAAGGCCAAACAAATTTAATCCATTTCTACATATAAATTGAAACCCTAAAGTCCAACCGAGTGATAAAATTTAATAAACATACCCGAAGACCACAATGAAATCTTCGTCGAAGCCCAAATCCCCTTTTAATTTGAATGCAATATCACAAACCTTTTTATACCGTACAAAATCCACCTTTTTATTAAACAAAAACTCACAAACTCACTTTGCCTATTTGGGTTTTCATGGTCTAGTTAACAACAATAATGGGTTTGGGGATTTTAAGGTTCATCGAGGAGGAGAATTGGGAATGGGTTCGGAGATATTAGGGTTCGATGAGGAAGAAGAAAATTGGGGGAATGAGTTTGGTTATTCATAACTTAGATTTTAAGGTTAGGGAATGTCATTTTGTTTTGAATTTGGGATTTTCCCAAACTCAAAACGATATATCCGCATGTTTTGGGGAGGATAATTTTGAAATATGCTAAGTGAGATTCTATACGGCATTTAATCCAAGTCATAGCTATTTCTCCCCTATCACATTAGATGATAACAAAATTTTAGATAGATAAATTCACACATGCTAATATGATTAATAGAAGTTTAGTTTGTATATTTTTTATCCAACACGAAGTGCTACGAGTAATCACAATCAGCTATTCAACAAGTCTTACGTATGTGTGAAAAGTTTGGACATGAGTTTTCTCACCAATCCTAATTTTCATCATCTTTATATTTTTTCATCAGTTGGTGTCACTAATGTTGTTAAAAATCGACATATATGGCTTGCTCATAGCGTGGATTGTTTGTAAATTTAAATTTTGATCCGTAGATTTCTTCAAATTTTATTTTATTCCCTATAGTATATTTTCCTCACAAATAAGTCCTTAATTGAAAAGCTTTTTGGTCATTTTTTTTTATATATACAATTTAATCTTAAAGAAAAATTATTTCCTTGCATGTAAACTATTTATTATGAGAATCTTCTTTTTATTTTTGAAGTTACTTGTCTCATTTTTTAGGTTTAAATTAAAAAAATGATTTTTTTTTCTAAAAAAGAAAGAAAACTATAGTATAATAGAAAATATTATGCGAGTTTTTTCTTTCCTTTGTTTTTTTTTTTTTTTTAATGGTATAGAAAACATTTTCTGTTTTATACCATTTAAAATATGTTATGTCACTTAACTCTTGTCTTGAAGTCTGTTGGTCATTGTTTTTCTCATATCAATTTTTTTCTCAATTGATATCATAAATTGTATATGGCTATAAAACATGACGACAAAAAGGTTTCGATTAGGAACTTTATGTAAGAAAATAATATAGGAACCCAGAAAGTACATTTGTGAAAATTCTTCTTGTGAACACGTGACAAATATCAATTTTTAACCGTGTCATTGACACCAACTAGTAGAATGATGTAAAAAACGTAAAGTATTGTATTGATATTAAGATTAAAAAAAATAGGTATGCATTAAGTAACCCAAATAAAAAATGGAAAACAATTAAGTAATGGTGTTAATAATTCAGCCTGAGGAAAAGAGGAAGGAAATCGATTTTTTAATTATTTAAGTTGCTATTGTATTGATACGTAGCGTATTGGGTGGAGCAGGCAGAGTATAAATTTATAATATATTATACATATATAATACTATATTATTTACATAATAAATACCAACCTCTAAACTCCGTTAAAAGATAGACGACAACTGAAGCGCCAAAAAAAGGAAAGAAACAAACGTCAGGCCAGGGTTACGAAGGAAGTCGACGGAAACGGCAAACTGGGAGTTTGTGGGTCTAATTGTCTTCTTCTTCCCAACGTCAAATGATAAAGACATTCCATTCCTTTCCTGTTAGTTCTCATCAGCCGAAAGCAACCGTAGCTAGCTGCTTCCTACTGCTCCTAATAATTATTATTATTCGCTCACCTCAGTCTATAAATAAATAAATAGTAGTAGTATTATTATATATATCTATATATATTCACCGTAACGTAATATTCTATTCTGTTTCGTTCCATTCCACTCTGGTTCTAGATATATATATATATATATATATATATATATGATATATGAATAAATAAGTAGAAAGGGTTCGTAATCTAAAAGCAAGATTTTGAGAGAACGGAAAAGAAAAGAAAAGTCCCGCCTTCCTTGCTTGTTTGTTAACTAACTAAAAAGGCATTATTATGTTAAGAGTTAGATTTGCTGAATTCTCAAAGCACCACCATTTATCACAACACGTGCGTAGTGTGAATCAGTCATCGCCTTCCGAATGCCTGCGGTTTCTTTGAAGGTAGAATCTGATTCTGATTAGCATTCCTTTTTTATTCCAATTCTATTGTCAATTGTCGAAATGCCACTTCAATTCCGATCTGCTTTGTTTATTTATTTTTCAGTTTCTGATGGTCTTCAATTTAGAATCCTGCAGATCCACCAGATCGGTTTCTCTTCTTTCCCTGACAATTTTATTTTGTTTGTTTATTTATTTTTTTGGTCCTCCAGATATTATCATCACAATTCAATTCCATTGATTTTATACCATCAACAGAATAAAAATGCCAGGTGAAATTTATTTATTCATTTCGTTTTGCAATATAAGAATTGAGCTTAAACAAAGGACTGATGATTCGGTTATGGCAGGGGAGGTGACTCTGAATCAAGAATATGAGAGGGGCAAAGGAATGGATCTGGAGACATCAGAGGATGAGAAGCAGCCAAGGAAAAAGGTTAGATCCTTGAGGAAAAAGGCAATGAGTGCATCTACAAAGCTCACGCATACACTTAGGAAGCGTTCCAGGCGTGTGGCCGATTGCAGGTATGCTGCGATCACAATCAATGATGTTAGGGATGCAAAGGAGGAAGAGGCTGTCAATGCATTTCGCGAGGTGTTGATCGCCAGAGACCTGCTTCCGCCTCGCCATGATGATTACCACACTTTATTGAGGTCATTTCATTTATACATTTACTCCCTTATGTTGTATGATCCGTGCAATATGATATTGTTGCTGGTACAATAAGGTTTTTGGTGTTTGCGACGTGTTATAGTAGTAGGTTTTGGATGAATTCCCAACTATTAACTTACTGTTGGAGTTCTGCTAAAGTGTTTAGCTGAGGTTATTAATTGTGCATGAAGAAATGCGTGTATTTACTGAGAAAATGAAATCTAAGGGGCAACTTTTGAAATCCAAAGAAGCATGTTTGAATGCTACCTGTTTGATTCAAAGTATTGCTGCAACTCCAAGAATTACTTCTGCCTTTTCTTGTCTCTTCTAGTGCTGCTTTTGTTCATGAAGATTTTTAGCATATGAGGAATTTCAAAATTGGATAGCTTTTCTGTAACTATTTTTCTGTACTTTTTTTTTTTTTTTTTTTGAAGATAAAGAGTAATTTCACTAAATTGCAGAAAATTGGGATTTGCATGGTTGCAGGTTTTTGAAATCAAGGAAGTTTGACCCTGATAAAACTGTCCTGATGTGGTCAGCAATGCTCAACTGGAGAAGAGAGTATGGGGTAGATTCTATAATACAGGTAAGATGTTGTTATAATATCATTTGCTTGCTTTTGACGAGTAGGATTTGTTTTAGAGATGATGAGATAATGGTCTTCAACACGGAGACCCTATCAGGACTGAGACTAAGCAAATAGGGCTTGCTTCTTGGTTGGATTAGAAAATCATGGTAGTAGCTGTGAAAAGTTCTTTGCCATCTGAACTTCTATTTTTGTAGTTATTGGTAATTTTAAAATTTTCAAGGTCCTAACAGATATGTAACAAAATCTTGCATTTTTAGGATTTCGTATATGATGAATATGAAGAAGTTCAACGTTATTATCCTCATGGTTACCATGGTGTAGACAAAGAGGGTCGACCTGTTTATATTGAAAGACTTGGCAAAATTGAACCAAGCGAGTTAATGAGTGTCACCACAGTGGAGAGGTTTTTGAAATATCATGTTCAGGGGTTTGAGAAGGCTTTCACAGAGAAATTCCCGGCATGTTCTATAGCAGCCAAGAGGCACATAGATTCTACAATAACAATTCTGGATGTCCATGGGCTGGTGAATTCATAGCTTGTTGAAGTATTTATTCTGATTTTTTTTTTCCTTACCACCCAAGAAACACATTCTTATACCATGCTGTCATTTCTTGATTCTTTTTGGTTATCCAGAATTGGATGAGCTTTGGCAAGGTTGCTCATGATCTAGTTGTGCGCATGCAAAAAATTGATGGTGACAACTATCCTGAGGTGATTTAATTGTTAAATTGAAACCGAACGTGAACAAATTATCTGATTTAATGGTGCATTCATTCGCTGAATGTTTCTGTTGTTAACTCATTTTCAACAGACACTACATCAGATGTTCATTGTTAATGCTGGTAATGGATTCAAACTGCTATGGAACACAGCAAAAGGCTTTCTTGACCCCAAGACTACTGCGAAGATAAATGTACAAGACTTTTGATATTTATTTTTTATTTTTGCTTTAACTCTACGAAGCTTTATAGACTAATTAAGACCATTCTTATCTGGTCCACAGGTTTTAGGTAACAAGTTCCAAAATAAGTTGTTGGAAGTTATAGACTTGAGGTTGGTATATGTCATCCTGCTTTTGTGGTCATAATTTGAATAATTGCTGCCAGAAATATGCTTTGTAACTGTGAACTTTGTCATTTTCTTCTAAAACAGCCAACTGCCAGAATTTCTTGGTGGAACCTGCTCATGCCCGAATGAAGGTGGTTGCCTAAGATCCAATAAGGGCCCATGGAACGATCCAGAAATAATGAAAGTATGATCCTTGTCAGTATCAAGCCAAAAAAAAAAAAAAAAAAGGATCTGTTGTGGTTATTCATGTCTGGGAATCAAAAACTTCAAACCATTGCAACATTATACCATCTTTTTTTATTTTTCCCTAAAAACTCCTAAGTGATTGGAATCTTTGTGTTGCAGCTATTACATGCTGGAGAAGCAATATATTTGAGAAAAATGAAAAATTCTTCTTCTGATGATGATTTGGAAATCAAGTTATTTGCCTCCAAGGTCAATTGTGTAGGATAATAATGACTTTTAATTTTCTTCTGTTATCTTTTACTTGTCTATTAAATCTGCTGATTCATATGCAGGTTTCAAGAAGTGAAATTTGCTCTGCTGATTCATGCTCAGATATGAGCCCAAATGCCTCTGGCTTCATTCAACTACTGCCACTTTCAGATGAAGTAAGTTTTCTAGAGTTCTTTTTACTGATTCCTTTCTGGTTTCTCTTTTAACTCCAGTCATACTGGATTGATTCTTAATATATTCTTTTGATTGATGTCATTAATTGGTTATCCCCCAAATTTGATAGTTTATTGATAATTTAAACTTACTTTTCCGGTAAATTATTCTCTTATTTTCATTTCATGTTGTTTGCTAGCAAAAGAGGGAAAAAGATAAAGAAATGTTGAAGGAACTGAAGAATAATATAGGACCTACTTAAGGACTGAATTTTGACTCTTTCAGACTTGGGTTTCTACAGATTTGTCTGATCTGTGATTATGTTCGACATAAATATCACTGTTACATGTGCATGGTTTTGAAATTTCTTCTTTTTCTGAAGTTAAATTTCTTTCATTTGTTAAAATCAACAAATTTGGGAAGTTGCATGACAAGTTGCAAACATAATCCATAAATGCACCAACTTATTAAAAAAAAAACTGAATGACAATTCTACCCTTGATGATTTTCTTAATCCTTGAATACCCCTACTCCTGCTACTATGTGTATAAATGGGGTAATGCCATTGGCTAATTCTTTCAGACGTAAAACACATAGAAGAACCTTTTAGTAATTGCTTCGCGGCTTGCCATGCAATAATCTCTTGTAAAAATTAGTTCTTGTTGTAATCAATTTCATATTCTTTCATGAAGACATGAATGTGTTTCACTTATATTTTTTTAAAAAAAATGAGCTTGTTAGTTTTCTATATAAATGGTGTTTTGTTATACGTTTTTTTTTTTTTTTTTTTTTTTTTTTTTGTATGAAATATATTTTTTCAACCATAACTCTTTTCCACACCAACTGGAACATGTTTCTCTGCATTTTTATTGTGGTGCCATTGGATTACAGTATGAACTCACGTCAATTTGTTGTGAAAATAAAAATTTTTATCATAGGTTTTGTTAAAAGATGGTTTGAAGTTTTCACATATATTTATGCAAAAATAAAGATTTTGCATCAACTAAAAGGAGCACCACAACTTTTTTGCTTCTTAAAACTATTTCATGGAAAAATTGAATTTTAAGGATAACCACACATATAATAAGATCTTTTTCATTATATATTTTTTATTTTTCTTTACAAATTTCAAATACTACCCATGCTAATCACGTGCCAAAAAACTAGTTTTTAAAACTGTGTTCTCCAGGAAGTTCTGATTTGAAAATGAATTTTTAAATAGAGGAAATCAAAATTATTTATATTATTTTATACTGAATTTGTAAAATATTTGGCAGTGTTAGGAATATTAAAGATAGAAACCAAAGATCTCATTGTGGGTTTCAGATAATTTTTCCATAGTTGAGAAATAAAGCATGTGCTAATTGCACTGGAATGGGACAGGTTTTCATTATATTTGGATGATAATTTATTCCAGTTCCTTTTGAATTTGTGATTGAAAAATATAGTATGATGTATAGTTGAATACTGTGATATGCTATGCCTTAAGGATGCATGAATTTGTTGGGCTTATTGAATTTCAATACCCTACTGAGCAATCATATTGATGTGTAATCATAGAACTTAGTTGCTCCTCTGTTTTACTAGGGAAGGATGGGGGATCCTGCTTCTGTCTACAGCTTGGTTGAACTCAATGCTGCCAGAGTTGAAGATACTAGTTCAATGAGTAGGTGACTTGAACATTGTCCTTTTAGTTCAACTTTACCTCATTATTAAGGTGGCTGTTTCACATCAAATGATGTAGTTCATGATGAAACTTTTTTGTGGTTTTTTGAAATTTCTATGTCTATTTACATGTGATGATGAGCTGCTAGTCCAGCTCGGTGTGTGTGACTGTCAGTAATTATAGTGTTCGAAGGTAAAAAGTAGGGTAATTGTTGCCATGTGCTAGGCAAACCTTTGGCTTTCATTGGGAAGGATTGTAGCTCTGTTCGTTCCTCAATTTATGCTAGTTTGTGGTGAACTATTAAGTGTATCCATAAAAATTTTCTTGGTGATTCTGTCATGTAAAATTTCCTTTTATTTGGGAAGAAGAGAAATACAGTAGCAATCTGGATTTACCTGTTTCTAATGGCACCTGATGCCTGCTCATCAGATAAAAGGTTTTAAATGCTGTCTAGAAGTAGCACAACGCCCAGATCTTGTATCTCTCTGCTCAATTGCTAAATGACTCATAGCATAATCAAATTAGCACTGAGGATGATCTTGTAGCTCAGTGGTACTCTTACACAATTAAGCGGGGTGACATCTTGGGTTTGACTCTCCCCTTTTTCAATTAAACTCTAATAAAATTATATCACACTTGTCAGGGGACAAAAAAATTTTCATCACTGAGGCGATGTCCAATTTTGGCTGTATTTCATGTGACATTGAGCAGGAAGCTTCAAGCAGTGCATTAATCATCTATCTGTAGATTTAAAGAGTAAAGACTAGCAGAACAACTTTTATAGTACTTTAGTTAGAAGTCTGAAGCATGTTTCCAAATTGAAATTGATCGAGCTGTGACAAACGTGATTGTTTGCCCTTTGATTTGTTGAAGTTATTCTCTGTTATTGTGTAGTTACCATTTTTCAGTACAGTAGGTTTAATTGTTCTGTCTTTTCATCTCTCAATAGAAAAGCTGCTCATGAGTTATGATGCATAATGGGATAACTATAAACTTTGCATCTGCAGCAATATATTCATGATTTGGTACTTTCTTTCAGATGATTTAGCCATTAATGTTACCCCTCGAATGCCGCTGAAGAAATTTATTCCTCGAATAACAAGTCTAGTGGTGCATTTCATGCTCAACTTGTTTCTATGGGTATATCTTCTACTCCCAGGGACAGGGAGAGCTCGTGCAGTACAACATGGAGACAGTCAATTGCAAAACCAGCGTGACTTGCTATTGGAAGATTCGAGTTCTCTAGTGCAAAGTGTTTCTCAGGAAATAAAAGAGGAATCGCTTCATCCATGCTGGCAGAGACTGCAAAATTTAGAAACAATGGTAAATGAGCTGGTTAGCAAGCCAACCAAAATTCCTCCTGAGAAAGATGACATGCTTCTTGAGTCTTTGAGTCGCATTAAATGTATAGAGCATGATCTACAGAAGACAAAGAAAGTAAGTTATCCTAGGTTCAGTTCTCATTTTTGTGGCACTTCCCGGAATGTCATTTTTGTCTTCATTTTTCTTTGTAGACTATAAATCTGAGCTTTTATTTTGCAGGCACTGCTTGCAACTGCGTCAAAACAAGTAGAGCTTGCTGAATCACTAGAGAGTCTAAAGGAGAATGGCTTAGCTGTAAGTTCAAATTCGTAAGACAAGAATTGACACTGCTTCTATCACTCAACTTTTACTAACTTAGTGACCCTATACTCTTATAGTAATTATTATAGAGCCCCTGTGTATTCAAGGGGTTCTACTAATAGCCAGTGAAAATGCTATATAAGAGGAGGGGGGGGGGGGGGAACTACATTTTGTAGAAATAAATGACTAAATATTAAAGAACTAACAGAACATAATTATCATGTATGAGCACGGGGCCATGCCATCATTATGCTTACAATGGATGAAAATCCAGTTCATGTCGAAGTTTTTCGTACTTTTTACACATATGATATATAGTCCTAATTTTTAATGGGCATATTATGGATGGGCAGCTGATAATTTCGTTCAATGTAAGTGTAATCTATACTTTGTGGTTTAGGTGAACAGCAACCTGCATGGTGAATTCTTGTATTTCAAGGTGGCATAAGCTTTTGGATTTGTTTTGCTTTTAGAGACAAACATAAGATTCAATATTAGAGTGGTTCTCTGTGATGTCAGACAAGATATGTATGCAGAAAAAATAATGCTCTGACAACTGCAGGTAGCAAGCTCTTGCTGGCCAAAAAGTTGCAAGTACTATCCTCCAGAAAGATAGCAACATTGTGTTGAAAAGGGAAGCTTGATGATTCTCAAGAATGCAGGGAGGGAGGGACTAGTAGATATGAGAGTATTAGCAGAGTGGATTCAAATGGATTGTCATCCCTCCCACTCTCTGCAAGGCATCATCTCATTTCTGTTCTCCCTGGGCTTTTATCCTCTAGAGAGATAGAATGCTGCTCACCCGGCCATGAAGATATCAAATTCTTTCAGATCCCAGATGTTTCTTCTGTACATGTATAATGTAGCCTGAACCTTGGTTCTTTTTTTCTTTTCCTCATTTTGGAAACAGAGGCTGTATGTATTACCCAAAAAATTTACCCGACGCAATTTTAAAATACATGAACTCGTGATTTATTTCCAAAGAAAATGCAACTTAATTTTGACTTCCTGAATATTCAATACGTAAAAACAATGGTTCATTTAGAGCATCTTCTTGTGGCGTGTTTTTATTTATTATTTATTGTTTTTTAATTCAAACGTTCTCATACAAGTAGGTAGCAAGGGTTTTGTCCACTTCCAAGGAAAAGAAAGGAAAGTCTCCTTATGATATCATGTAGAGGTAGACATAGGTTGAACTGGAAATAAACTGATACGATCCAATTCCCAAATCAAGAACTCAAGATGAAATTAACAGTTCTATATGAAATTCAAAACAGTTTGAGCTTTATTCAATCAAAATGCAACAAGAAGTTTTACAAACAATGATTAGAATGACAGAATCTGATGAAAAGAGGAGAAAAGAAAGAAATACAGAGAGGAACGGAGAAGGAATGATTTGCCGAGAAGGAATCGATCCCTCATTATGTTTTTTTCCCTTCATTTATACAGTGTTTATTTCCTCTCTTTAACAGATTTCTTAACTAACATCCACGTAATCTAACAAACCTCCTAACTGTATTCCATGTCAGCAAATAACTGCATGCCATTTCAGCAATTAACTCCCACATGTGAACACTTATTCTTCCTCGCGTGCGCACCTTTAAGTATTTCCCAGCCAAAATAGGTAATCTTCAAGTGAATTCCCAGAAAATTCCCAACACTAAGGCAATCTTCAAGTCATCTCCAGAATATGGCTAACAATACCTCCTCCCTTAAGTGACCTTGTCCTCAAGGTCGAAGTCAGGGAAACATCTAGCCATATCAAAGGCATATTCCCATGTAACTTCAGCTGCAGAACTTGTAGACCACTGAATTAACAACTTAGTGACAGGTCTATTACCCTTTTTAACCATTTTTCTATCCAGAACAGCAACTGGCCTAACTTCCTCAAGCAAAATCTCAAGTAGTTGTGGTTGCATTGCCACATGTCCATAAGCTGGTTTAAGCTGAGAAACATGGAATGTGAGATGAATTAAAGAGCCTGAAGGAAGTTGTAATGTGTAAGCCACCTCCCCAATTTTGTCCACTACCTTATAAGGTCTATAGTACTTAGGAGCAAATTTCTGACTCTTCGTAAAAACCACTAAATGCTACCTGTAAGCTTGGAGTATCAGGTAAACCTAATCACTAAGTGATTCTGAGCCTTAAGTAAATGACCTTTCAATAGGGCCACTACCTCCTCCTTATCTTGTAAGAGTTGATTCACAGTTAGCTCCCTATAGTCATTGGGAAGATAGAGAAGATGAATTAGGGGTACATAACCATACAAGGCCTTAAATAGAAAATGCTAAATGGAGAAACGATAAGATGTATTGTACCAAAACTTTGCCAGACATAACCATCTACTCCAATTCTTAGGAATGTCAGAACACATGCACCTTAAATAGGTTTGCGAACACCTATTAACTACCTCAGTTTGGCCATTCGTTTGAGGATGGTAAGCTATAGAGAAATGCAATGATTCTTATTGGTAGACAAATAATTCCTTCCAAAATTTACTGAAAAAGATAGAATCTCTATCTGATACAATGGTACTAGGAAGACGATGTAGCTTAAATACATTCTCCATAAAAGATTGAGCCATTATGTAAGTTGCAAAGGGATGTGATAGAGCCATAAAATGTGCATATTTAGTTAGCCTGTACACCACCACAAAAATCACTGACTTACCATTAAAAGCAGGCAACCATTCTATAAAATCCATGAAAATGTCAGTGAATATAGCTGTAGGGACTGGTAATGGATTCAATAATCCAGGTGATGCCACATTCTCTTATCCGCATTCTTGGCACACCTTATACTGTCTGACATATTCCCTTACCTCTTTTCTCAATCCTTTCTAGTAGAACAATGAAGCCACTCTCTTGATAGTTCCCTTAATGCCAGAGTGCCCTCTTGCACTAGAGTCATGGCACATGGAAAAAAGTTCTTTGTATAACTCCATATTCCTTCATACCACCAGTTTCCCTTTTCTTCTTAAGTGTTGCTGCTGCCATTCAAACTTTGAATGACTTTCCCTTGGCTGTTGCAGCTGTGCTATCAATGCCTTTAAGGCAAAATCTTTCTCCCATGACATTTTGATTCTAGCCATTAACTCAGTAGATATAGAAGATAAGGCCAGAACAGATAGTTGCACTCTGGATAGTGCATCAGCTACCTGATTTTCTTTACTTTTCTTATACACTATATCATAGTCATACCCCATTAACTTCACTAACCAAGTAAATTGACTCTCAGTATGCATTGTCTGCTCTAGGAGATGTTTTAAACTTTGGTGATCAGTCTTAATGAGAAAATATTTATGCATCAAGTACCAATGTCATTTTTTAATGACAAAAAGAATAGCAATTAACTCATTTCCATAGACTAACATAGCTTGATGCTTAGGAGATAAGAGCTTACTGATGAATGATATTGGGTGTCCTTTCTGCATCAACATAGCCCCAATTTCATTGTTGGAAGCATCAGTTTCGATGATGAACTCCTCCTCCCAATTTGGTAAAGCTAACACTGGTGTGGAATTCATTGCCTTCTTCAAATCCTCAAATGCTGTCTCAACTACTGGATTCCACCCGAAGGCATCCTGCTTGGGCAGGTTCATTAATGGCTTTACAATTCGACCATAACCCTTAATAAACCTCCTGTAATAACCTGTGAGACCTAAGAATCCCCTTAATTGTTTGAGATTAGTAAGTCTAGGCCACTATTGAACCACAACTATCTTACAAGGATCAGTTTGGACTCCTTTCTTGAAAATGTAATGACCTAAGTATTCCACCTTTTGAGTACCAAAGATGCATTTTGATTCTTTGGCAAATAGAATATTTTTTTTTTAAATGTTCAATTTAATTTTCAAATTTTGTTCATGCTCAAGAATAGATTTACTATAAACTAAGATATCATCAAAGAAAACTAGAATGAATTTCCTAAGGAATGGTCTGAAAATGTCATTCATGAGAGTTTGAAATGTACTAGGAGCATTGGTTAACCCAAAAGGCATAACCAAGTACTCATAATGTCCACGATGGATACAAAAAGCAGTTTTTGGAATGTCATTAGTGTTCATCCTAATCTGGTGATACCTAGCCTTCAGGTCAAGCTTTGAAAACATCCTAGAACCATGCAGTTCGTCTAAAAGCTCTTCAATTATGGGAATCAGAAAGTGGTCCTTCACAGTCACATTGTTTAACTTCCTGTAATCCACACATAACCTCTAAGATTGATCCTTCTTTTTTATCAGAACTACAGGAGATGAAAAAGGGCTTACACTGGTTTTGATAATTCCTCTATCCAACATTTCTTGAACCTGTATCTTTATCTCATCTTTCTGAACAGCAGGATACCTATAAGGCTTGGTATTCACTGGTTCAGCTCCTTCCTTTAGCAAAATTTTATGATCATGTAATCTGTAAGGTGGTAGCCTTTTTAGCTCCTGGAATACTTTTGAAAATGATTCTAGTATTGGCCTTAAGGTCACTGGAATTTGATTATCTTCTTCCATCTCAACTTTTTTTTTCCCTATCCTCATTAATTAATTGATAGACCTATAACCAGTATAACTACTTTTGCTTACAAATTGCTCTATCCATATCCAACTCCTTCTGATTTTTAATTAGTTTAGCATTTTTTTTCCTTTAATGTAATTGCTTCTCTCTTTATTAAAAATCTCATCCATATATCCTTAAAGTTCCAAGTAATATCCCCCAACTCATACAGCCAAGCTATTCTCAGAATCACTTCATATATTCCCAATGACATCAAAAATATCGTATTCTCAAATTATGTTCTTTGCATCCTTTGCTGGAACTTTTTACACATATATTCACATATAATATCTCCCCCATCAGCTACTTTAACTGTAATAGGTTGGATCTTGACTAACTCACACTTATTCTTTTTAGTAAATCCCAAGTCCATAAAATTGTGAGTACTGCCAGTATCTATTAGCATAGTCACTTTTGTTCCTCTTATACTTCCCATCACCTTCATTGTTTAGTAATGCTCACCCTCCAAAACTTTATATGTCAAAATCTGAAACATCTCAAAATTCAGATTCTCAATGTTACAATTCTGATCTCTAATATTTCCTTCCACAACTATATCTCTACCATTTCCATCATTCTCATCAACCTCAATTTCTAACATGAACAACTGTTTACCCTTACACTTATAGCCAGGTGAATATTTCTCATCACAGTAATAACACAACCCTTTCAACCTTCTCTCATCCAATTCACGATTACTAGGTAACTTTCTTGTTTTGAACATTAAGTTACCATTCTAAAATTTTAGAGGTAGAGTAAGTAGACCTTTTTTGTTAGGCATTTATGGATTTTGGTAAGGTCCTTGATTGTTTTGGTAAGAGGAAGTGTTTTGTCTGAGGTTTTGATTGTAATTAGTTTTCTGATTGTTCTAAAAGGTGTTTCGATGAGGTCTGGAATTGAATAAAAGAGTGTATCTATTGGAGAATCTATTGGGTTGAAAATGATTATTTGGATTGGTTTCTTATAATTTGGCCAAAGACATAGCTTCTTTGAGGGTTTTAGGTCTCATTACTTTTACTGAAACTTGTAATTTTGGTTTTAGTCCACCCACAAAAAAACTAATGATGTACTCTTCAGGAAGCACTAGTTTGTTCACTACAGAAATGAACTTCTTCAAGTAAGATTGAACATCACTATCTTGTTTCAATCCCATTAACTCTGCTATTGGATCACTAAACATCATTGTTTTGAATCTGATACTCATGGCCTCAATGTAATCACACCACTTAATCAAAATGTTTACCCCATGTATACGTACAAACACTTGATGTCATTCTAAAGCCTCATCCTCTAGATGAATTGTAGCCAGATTCACCTTAACTTCTTCAGGTGTTCTATCATACATAAAGAACTTCTCACACCTGAATATCCAACCATCAAAGTCTTCTCCTGAAAACTTAGGAAACTCTACCCTAGACACCCTACTATTGGTATGATATCCATAATAATCAACATTATATCCCCCCTAACTATAACCACCAGTATTGCTAGCAGTAGGAAATCCAAACTTAGGCCTATTTATACCTCATCCTCTGGCATTATCATTCAAGCTGGGATTCATTCCATTATTATGATCAATACATTCTTCTAAGTTTCCTGATCCCCTAAGTTCTTTCCTTAAATCTTTCAACTGTGCAATTTCAGATTCATGCTTTTCAAACATAGTAGATCATTTATCACTAAGGTCAGAGATTACCTAAGCTAAATGAGCTATTGTCTCCTCTAATTTTTTCAACTCAACATTCGTTTTAGCCATTGTTGTTTCTCCACTTACTCACAGGTGCGAGAATCAAGCTTTGATATCACTTTGATACAATCCAATTCCTAAGTCAAGAATTCAAGATGAAATTAATAGTTCTATATGAAATTCAAAACAGTTTGAGCTTTATTCAATTAAAATGCAAGAACAAGCTTTACAAACAATGATTAAAATGCAAAATCTAATGAAAACAGAAGGGAAAAGAAAGAAATATAGAGAGGAATAGAGAAGGAATGATTTGCCAAAAAGAATCGATCCCTCATTCTGTTTGTTTCCCTTGATTTATACAATGTTTGTTTCCTTTTTTTAACAGATTTCTTAACTAACATCCACGTAATCTAACAAAGTTCCTAATTGTATTCCACGTCAGCAATTAACTCTCCCACGTGCGAACACTTATTCTTCCTCACATGCGTGCCTTCAAGTATTCACCGGCCAAAATAGGTAATCTTCAAGTGAATTTCTAGAAAATTCCCAGCATCAAGACAATCTTCAAGTCATGTTTAGAATATGCCTAACACAAACACCAACCACCTTTCTTCAGTTTGTATGAAGATGATCTGAAGATATACTTACTGTCGAATCAAAACTTCAGTTTTAAGTTTTAATTTTTAATTTTTTAATGATTTATTTGTGTTTCTGTTTTTTTATCTCTAAAATAAAATAAAACAAAACAAAATAAAGGGGGCTAGGAATTTAGAATTGTTAATTGGGCTGAATTGCTCCAACCATTAGGCCCAAAAGAATTGTATCTCGGGTGTCTCACATATTCGGGTTTGGATCCATTAACTAGCCAGTAACTCCATAACTCTATGCTTAGCTGGCACACTTTTTTCCCCACCCAACAAACCAACACCACCATACCATACCAAGTTACCAACTACCTCCGCCGCGTCCGGCCACCACCACCTCCCTCAAACTGCAAATCCTGTTACCCTAAAAACTCCACAAAATGTCTACACCCTCCCCATCTCCTTCACCGCCACCACCACACTCACCACCCACAAACCCCACACCCCTCTCTTCCAAGAAAACCCAACCTCTCCCCTGGATCCACCAAGAAACTATCCAGTTAATCCAAGCCTACCAAGAAAAATGGTACTCCTTAAAACGCGGTCAGCTCAAGGCTAGCCAGTGGGAAGAAGTAGCCGTAACTGTCGCCGCCCGCTGCGGCTATGATTACAACCACCCTTCGAAATCCGCCATCCAATGCCGCCACAAGATGGAGAAGCTCCGTAGAAGGTACCGCGATGAGAAGCGGCTCATCTCTCTTGGCGGCACTTGTTACTGGCAGTACTTTGATCTCATGGACTCCTTGGAACGTGGGCCTTTGCCAATTTCTGCGCAGCCGCTGGCTCTAGTGCCCGCGCCCTTGCCCTGTCAAGAAAATTATAATACTAGGAACAGAAACAGAAATCATGGTATTCTTGGCGAATACACGAATGATAATGATGAAGAGGAAGATGAAGAGGAGGATGATTATGGTTATAGAAGCAAATTAAGGAGCAGGAGCATTAACTACATACTTCGAAAGCCAACTATTGTTAACAGGTATGCGGGTGGTGATTCATCGGGTTCGGGGTTTTTGCGTGAGGCGGCAAAGAAGAGAAAGAGAATTGTGGAAGAGGAGGAGGGAGAAGAGGTGGAATTGGGGTTGGCAGGGCAAATAAAGGGGTTTGCGGAGAGAATGGTAAAGTTGGAGAGGAAGAAGATGGAGATGATGAAAGAGACAGAGAGGTGGAGAATGGAGATGGAGAACAAGAGGCTTGAGATGATTTTAGATTCTCATAAGAAGATTGTTGATATGATTGACCAAGCTTTTGGTCTCTGATGCCGGAACAATAACTTTCAAGCTTCAATTTCAGTTATCAGTTTTTGCTTTTGCTAAATTGCTTTTTTTTTTAATTGATTTCATATAGTCATTTAGAATTAGGTTTGCAACATTCTGTATATTCGAAATTAGGTCCACCGGCGAATTTTGACTTGGTGATTTGATTGGAGAATGCAATGAGTAGTGCTTTAGTTCAATTCATCCATATTTTCTACGCTTTTTATTCATGGAATTGTTTGTCTCAAGAGAGTTCTAAGCAAATTACATCATCCGAACTAACATATATATATATATATATATATATATATATGCCTTGGTGTTTTGCTCATCTTGCCATTGCTGCAAACATGGGCAACAGTGTTTCAACATTGTTCAAAGTCATTGCAGGTTTTTGTTTTGTTTTGGATGCCTTGTCTGTTATGCTTTTCTTGAAATTTTCTAGAGAAATGGGTGCTTCCTTGTCTGCATTTTATGAGCCTTCTATGAGCTAACGAGTTGAATGCCAATTTGTGTCTCTCATAGCAACTCATTTGGTAGCAAACTTCTGAATTCTTAGGGATAATTTTCATCAGAAATATGCTCTGTTCCAATGGATACGTGCAGAACCACCTTGTGTCTTTTTGAGGAATCATCATTTGCAGTAGATTCCTGATGTCGGTACATCTGTTTTGGTGTGCTAAAGTTTTTGTCAGGGCCAGTACAAAGACACTTAACCCACTCCTCGTTCCTAAAATCACACCTGGAAAACTTCAGCATTTGCTCTGTTTGCCATTTTGTCGCCCATACATAAATCAACTAATTCGGTGTTCCAGTTTTGTACTGCATTTACTAGTTTACTACCTAGAAATTCGTCTGCTTCAATGGTATACCCGTACGTACGAAAGGTTTCCAACTGTTCATTCATTCGCAATGCTTGGCTTTGTTGCTTGATTATGCAACTGTGGACAAAGCTCGAAATAGATTTCCCTCTACAGTCCTCAGCAAGTAGATAAACCTAGTCTAGGTATTCAAATTCTTAGTTTCTGTTAGCTATAATGCACAAAGGTGTAGAACAATCTCAGACTCAAAACTACCCCCCGTCAACCTTAACATGTGGGGTAATAAAACAAAATGCCGTTCAACAATTAAGTACTAAAACTCCAGAAACATTCTGCCAAGGAATGCCCTGGTAGTTTTTGTTGTACAAATACCATTTGCTGCTCTTGTAACCCCAAAAAGAAAGGGCAGGGGATTCACATTTCTTAATGCAAACCACTTTAGACTGCATTTCTATCTACAACAAGACACCTCGGTGATGAGAACTGTAGCAATGGATAAAAAAAGGTGTAAATATACAACCTAAGCCTTAAGGTGACCCGGGACAGGTGTCAAAAACAAAATAAAATAAAATGCACAGTTTCAAAGTTTTCCTGCAGTTTAATATGTACAGCTATCAAGGCTTGCTGCAAAATGGAAGTGGAAGTACGCAAAGAGATTACCAACCATTCTAATAGCATGGATTAGGAGGGTATACACCAGAGACTTCGTATTCACAAAATTTCTCAAGGCTTTGCCCATAACAATGAGAGCTACTAAATCTGAAAGTGTGTAATAATACATGCACTAACCTACTGGGGCACAAACAAAAAGAAACGGGCCCCTCTGCACATGAGTGGGGGAAACCAGACGAAAGGTGGGGAGAAGTACAAGAAATGGCGAGATGAGACTCTGTACACATACCTCTATATCTGTCTCCATGTTCCCATAGCTCTAAACCAGTGGTAATTTACAAGATTTCCCCAAATTAACCCAAAAAATTAAAAAAAAAAAAAAAAGAAGAAAAATGGCCCGTAGAGATCTCTTTACTAACAGAATCTGCAAATGACAAACCACCTCTTTCGATTTTGCAATGCCCCTATGAAGTAACCAGCTTCATCTGCATGGAAATCCATGACAGCATTAGATTGTGCTCATCTTAACTAAAGCAACTGAATTCCCCACATCGTAGGATACTACTAATAGTATCAGAGAATTTTGCTTGATGGTGACAAACAAAAGATTAATAATGTGCAGGATATACTATCAGAGTTCATCAGCATTTGCAGCTTAAATATAGTTGGTGGGGAGGAGGAGAGAAAGAGAGAAGCCAAATCTACCTGTACACAGCTGCCATAAGGGCATGCAAACCCAACCCCAGAAGTACTGACTGCTTTCAGAACTGCTCAATCCACCAAATTGCTTCATTCCAGGCTAGAATTGCTTGGCCTGATATATAAACTGCCTTGTGCTGATTGAAGATGCTGTGTCTGCTGCTGTGGGGGCAGCTGTTGAGGTGATTGCTGCGGTTCTTGACGTAGTTGTTCTTGTGATGGGGGTGGTGATGCTGTCGATTGTTGTGGTTGTTGGTGCTGCCACTGTGCTCCACCATTATGGCCATGCATGGGCAGGCCTCCTGACAACTGCCTGTGGACTGAACCTTGGCTGACAGCTGGCTCACTCCCAGTTGCACTCGCAAGAGGTGGGCTACCAATAGGACCTACCTGCAAGGCTGAATTTGCCATGCCAGAATCATGCAAGGGTTGTTCTGAAGACTTCCACTGTATCGCTAAGGCAGAAGAGACAACTGGTGCCACATTAGCTGTATCATTACAGGCCTGGGGCATCACTGTGGATGTACTTGTTCCTGTCTGGGAGACGTTTGAAGTTTGCCGATCAGTATAACCCTGATCAGTTTGAGGCTTGGTTGGCAGATCAGAATTCACCTGACGATTCTGTTGATGCATTCTCTGAGCAGTTGATTGAGGTTGACTAACCTGCTTCTGGTGTGGCTGTGGATGTGGTTGAAGATGCTGATGATTGGGAACCATGACTGGAGTGTTTTGGTGAGTAGAATTTAGTGTTTTCCCAGAGGGTACTGGTTGAACCTGGCCTTGAGCACTATTATCCAAATGAGAAGGCATTTGCTGGAGTGGCCTTGACGAAGAGTTTGCTGGGCCAGAATATAACTTTTGCTGCGGCTGAGAATAGTTCGGGGATTGTGAAGAAACCAATGGTTTAGACGAATGAATTGGACTTAACCCAGTCCCAGAATACAAGCCTTGACCCTGCATCAAGTGCATGATTTGCTCTCCTTTCTCTACACCTTGGTTTCCTGGAGGCACAGAAAGGCCATTCAAAGGAGAATGATCTATTGGGAGATTCTGGTGCACCACAATGTTCCCTCTTCCCATTCCCTTCAAGAGTTTAGCCTGCTGTGGAGACTGCGAGTGCTGTCGTTGTTGAGGGTGATGTCGACCAGATTGTTGAAACTGCTGTGGCTGCCGCTGTCGTTGCTTTCCCATCTGATTGGTCAAACAACTGGAACCACTTTGGGGGTTCCGGTTGACGGCATGATTTTGTTTCTGCTGTTGTTGCTGCTGTATTGAAATGGGAGTCATTGGAGAAGGTGGAGTTATAGGTGGTAGTGACACTGGCTGTGATACAGTTGGTGGTGGAATCTGAGAACTATTTTGCATAGATGATGATATGGGAAGTTGGGATTGATGTTGGACATGGGGCATCAAAGCACTAGATGCAGCAAACTGCTGCTGCTGCTGCTGCTGCTGCTGCTGGAGAAGCCGCTGCTGCATTTGCCTTTCTTTAGCAAGGCGCATTGCATATGTTTGCTGCTGTGAACCTGTAGTATGATTGGAGCCATGAAGATTGGGATGATGAGGATTGCTCAGCAAATTGGACTGTTGAGCGGACATTTGATGCTGCTGCTGGGGATGGCCTGGATATGTCTGCACTGGCGGAGTGGTCGTCTGATTAGCAAAAGCAGAACTCAACCCATTGAAAGCAGGAATTCCTTGGCTGTTCCCTTGTGTTGCCTGCATCTGAAGCTCTGGTACCATCATTTGTCTTTGATGCTCAGGATTATGGCCAGGCTATGGCAAAAATATAACATGTTGTCATATAATATAGAAGTACTGATGCAATATAATGAAGTGATGCCAACGGAATGTGTATGAAATTACAGCATAACATCAAAATGTAGAATTCCACAGGAAAAGCAACATAAAATTGTAAATACAAGCAGCCAGAAAGCTATTACACCAGATCAGAGTTGTAATGACCCATGGTCTAGAATGTGTAACTACAAGGAACACTTGGCAACCTTTAAAAGATGTGTATAATGCAAAAATTGATGAAACAGCCTCAGTCAAGAGCAACAAAATCGCATGCATAAGCATAGAGAGAGAGAGAGAGAGAGAGAGAGAGAGAGAGAGAGGGAGAGGGATGGAGGGACGGAGGGAGAGTGCATATGTAGAGGAGGATTTAGTATTTACCCTCATCATATGCAAAGCCTCGCGAGGTCTCATTGAGTTCCCTTGACCAGAACCAGCTCCAGAGTGCATATTTACAGGGCTTGGCATCCCAACCATATTGGAAGAAAGCATATTGCCGGAACTCAGCATTGATGGTGAGGCAATTCCTTGGAATCCTGGCCTTGGCAGTGGCATGCTCCTGTTCATCCCTGGCATCATGCCCATGCCATTTCCAGCGGGTAGCATGCGAACAACACGATCAGCTCCAGAGAGATTCCCAGAAACAGACAAGTTAGACTGCTGCAAGTTTCTACTAGATAAAATTTGATTGTAGTGTTGCATTCTTTGCTGCTCGTCAACTGGTAAAGATGCCCTTGGAACATTGTATCTACCATCTCTGAGAATAGATACGACGACCCAAGATCAACGTTTGACGAATCACTATTTGATTAAAAACACGATGACAGTCTAAAGATATAAATAGGATACTACCTGAGAGGTGCATTGAGGGGTCCAGATGGTGATGACGAGTTATTCCCAAGAACCACACCAGAAGATCCTTGCAGGGAAGAGCTTGCACCAGAAGTAGGAAGCATTGATGTTACAGCACCTTGATTTGGGATTGCCAAATTGCTAGCATGTGAACCTTGATACACAATGGGAAGAACATCTGGACTTGAAGCACTTGGATCACAGAGATCAAGGGGACTTCATCCAAACAACAAAGTAAAGTATATTCAATTGCTTGCACAAGAAAAAAGACATGAAATACATTCCAGGAAAGGTAAGAAGATAGAGACTGCAAAGCAATGAAGCTGAATGAATAGTGATAGGCTGAGCACTATAGGCTTGACCATAGATATGCACCAAAGAACGAAAACTTACGTTAGAACACCTCCATTTAAGTTGTTTGGGCAAACTTGGGAAAGAGCACTACGATGAGAATTGTGCATTGCTGCTGCTTGCTTAGGATCCTGGTTTTCGTTCTTCACAAGATATAGTCATAAAATTAGTCAGGAAAGTATTTTGCCAAAGGAAGACCATAAAAAAAGTATGATTGTTATGTTTTCAGATCTAAAATGTTCAGTCAGATTTTTTCCCAGGTTAGGTAAAAAATCTACTTTATACAGCTGCCACATGGCCTATGCCCTCAAAATTCCATAACAATCTCAAAAGAATAAAATAACAGGAGAGAAAAAACCACAGTAGAAAATTGAGAAGATGAAGTGATTCCCAATCTATGATTCAGGTGACAAACTTTGGTATAAAGATAGATAAATAGATTTGGACTTATTAGAATGCAGGGCATAAAAAGCTGGTATTAGGTTAGGCTTCTGAGGACTTGCAACATGACATTATCAGCCCAGATACAGGTGTGCTTTGAATGACAAACAAACCTGACTCCTTTTGCAATGATACTTCTTCCCAATCACGATAATTTTCTCAAAATGAGACTTCAGGGTATCCTCTTGCATCGGCCCTTGCAAATGTTGAAACAATTGTCTGGCACTGCCCTGCTTAAAATGCAGCAATACAAAACAGTCAGACTATCAGAGCAGCAAAGGTTAAGCTCAATGGTACAGAGGCTAAATTTACATAAGCAAGCATCAAGTTTTGGGTCAGAAAAGGACACAACATTAGCAACCTTACCTTTGGAATGCCAGGCAAAGTTGACGGGTAGGATTGAGAAGATCCTGAATCCTCTGCACTATCAGCCCCATCACCAGCACCCTTATCCATTAAGATTTTGTGACGTTCTTTGCATTCTTTAGGCTTGCGAAATACGCACTGGACAAGTTGGGCAAGTGCCAATAAATGAAATTTCCCGGGAAAAAAAAAAAACAGAGAGAGGGAGAGAGAGAGATGCCAAACAAGAAGGCAAATATCGATAGATGAAAATATCTTATTTACCTTGAATTGAACAGTGCTGTTGATAGCATCACTTATAAGCTCCCAATTGGGACCCATGTCATGCACAAGAACAACAAGAGCCTGAGGAAGCAGAAAAAAGAAGTCTCAAGTACTTCATCAGAATTTTGGCAACCAAAGAAACGACAGATTCAAGAAAGAAACTGAAGGAAAAGCAACCTGGTCTTCAAAAAGTGACCAAGGACTTCCAGAACCTGGCTGCCCAGCAGAAATCTGCAGAGGATATCAAATGCTCAAATTCACAGAAATAGATATATATCTAAGAAAACAGTGATGAGTTGAGAGCATGTGCCACATGATCAGCTACTTTAGTACCTTCATTGATTTATTTTTTCTTCCTCGTTCCCTGCCACCAATCAATTTGATGAATCTATTTGTGTTTGACATATTACTCATCTGGGAAGCAGCTGGGGAAGGGATGGACCCGGCCATTTGAACCATGCTGTCAAAAGTATTATCTAGCATTTGCTTCATTATCTTCGGCTTCTTTGCAGTATGTTGCCCATATAAGCCTTAAAAGAAGATATTTGGAAGTGTCAAGGATGAAGGGGAACATGAAATACTATGCATTCCTGTCAAATCACAACTGAAGGAATAGGAGATGATCGGGATTTTACCACTAGTTCCATTAGAGTCAAAATGATGACTCTCTGATCTCTTTTGAAATTATCCCTCTGCAAGTAGAAAAGCACCAGTATAAAACTTAATATGTATCTAGCAAATAGCTTTTAGAATGCAAATTTGGCGGACAGAAGGTTAGACAACAGGCAAAAGTAAACCCTAATCACTCAAATGCTTACACTACATAAATAACTACACTAACAATATACCAGAAAAGATACACAAACTCATGATAACATTGTTCATATCATTTATTTAATAGATAGTAAGGGTCAACTTGGTGTCCTCTGCCAGTTTTTCCATCAAAAGACTTGCCATAATCACTGCCCCATCCCAATACCCAGCAGAAGTGGAAGTTATGAAAATTGTTGATTCCCTTAGAGACACATTGTCCAACATTGTCATCTGTGGACTGGATGCATACTTTAACTAGCAGATGCTAATACTCATATAATCTGTCTCAGGTTCAGTTTAGCAGAGAATTTTGCAGGCAATGAACTCAATATATGATTCCACACTTTAAAGTGCTTCTGCCCAGGACTGTTTTACACCTCAAAAGCAACAATCACTGAGTGAATAATTGTTTTAACAAATCACCTCAAGGTTCTCTATCGTATTTTGCATCAATTATGGCTAGTGGCTGCTTTTCTTCAGCCGTAACTCTATTAAAATAGTGATTATAAGTCTCCTGCGAACTTGGAGACGCACTTTAATTCATGAGTTGCTCTCTCAAGCAACAGCAAACAATTTTTTAAAGTCTCTAGACCAAAAATGCAGGCTGAAATTCTAAATTAATGACACTACAGCAGGTCTTCTACAATTACTTGGAGCCCAGCATATTTTCTGCTTAAAATAAATGCAAAATTATATCTAACATCTGAACATAAAAAAAGTTAAATCACCTGTTCATTATGAACAGTAGAATCCAGCTGCCAGCCCTGCTCATAAGCAGAACCCTGCAAAAATGGAGTCAGTCAACGTAAAAAGCATGACAAAGAATAACACTTTAGAAAGTATCCAAACTTTATTAAAATAAACTAAGCCCCCAGCACCAGTTGAACAATAAGAAACCCTATGTACCAGATGTTTTGCCTTCTTCTTCTTCTTCGGTTTTGTTGATGTCTCGGCATAGTCATATGGTAACTGCCTTTCAAAATCTGCAGCCGACTCGACCTCCATACTTTTCTGAATTTGTGATCCACCATGCAAAGTACTCTGGTCATCCTGAAAAGAACTAGTGTCTCCACTTGACGCATCCGTCTTCACTGGAGCCGGGAGTAGAACCCCAGTGGTTCCAGCAGTAAAAGGACTTATAAACCTCTGCCTAGAAGCAGTACGCATGCGTTTTGTTGGAATTGAGCCGACGTTAAGATTACTAGCAGGTCTTTTCCCCATAAATACATTTTGTTGTGGCCCAGTGGTGCAATGTCCATAAGGTGAATCAGTTCCCAGATCATATGATCTTGCAGAGGGTGACTTTGTGAAGTTTTTCCATTTCTTCTGGTCATGTTTTGCTGCTTTGCTACCTTCAAAGACTCCATGCATATAGTAAGCACTTGTTTCTCCTTCCTCCTCATCATATGCATTACCATGATATCCAAAGTCTGAAAAGGAATGGACTTATGAAAGAGAACAAATTCAATCGACAAGGAACCAGTAAATAAACTAGTTTCAGCATTACCTGCTGGAGTGTCATAAATAGATGTATCGACCTCCTCCTGCATGCTATTGCGAGTTTTCTAAAAAAAATAAAATAATAAATAAATAAAGTTCAACAAATAAGCAAGATTAAGAAGATGAGACAAACAGTAATTGTAGTTTATGAACAGCAGGTATCAAGCCAACTTAACCCGCTAGAAGTCATTCTCCAGTATTCTTTCTTCTAAATTTTGCCGAACTGCATGTTTTTTCAAGCATAGAGAAAACCAAGAACATGTGCCCAAGCATTCAAAATCGTTTAATTACCTCACTTTGCACAATATGAGATTCAATGGACAATCTGTACATTTCCATGGCACCTGAAGGAACTGCATAGAACAGGCTTTCCTGCAAATAAAAAGTTGATTGCAAAATGAGTGATTTATGTGCAGCCAAGGTTAGAATATAGCACACAGGCATGCATATAAAATATCAAAAAGAGATGGCTTTGGTAAACTTAAGCAAGACAACAAATGCATAAAACATAAAGGTAGGTATGCATACTTCCGTAAGGTGGTCGTCCCATGAAATGTCCAGCAAGCCAAAATCAGCTATTCTGTCAGGAGTTGCTGGTGCTTCTGCTTGAAGGGAAGGAACAGCAGAGCTGTTATATTTCAAAAACCTTACAGCATATCCATGAATGGCATGTGCAATGTTTTTGGCAGGATTTTGTATCTCTAACTCTTTGCATGTCGCCTGCTCATGAACAAAAATGTCCAGAACGGGTCAATATAAGATGAAAATCATACCATTTCTGAAAATCAATGCAGCTATAAACTCCACTAAAAGCATATTCGTTCTATGTTATCAATATCCAAAAGAAAATGCACTTGATCCAAAGCTGTCTTTTAGTGTGTGGAATAAATAATATCTCCCCTTATCAGATAAATTGCATTTGAATTAAGTGAAGTGTTCGAAAGTAGGAATACTACAGATTGAAAAAAAAAAAAAAAAAAAAAAAAAAAAAAAAGGAAAAACAACTTCCAGGCAGTTAAATACATGCAAAAGGAAAAGGTGGTTTTCAAACATTGTCAGCACCTTATCAATTTCTCCAAACTTGTTGACAGAAAATTCATTCCCCTCAAACATCCTCGTCTCATCCTTGCCATTCTTTGAACCAACACTTTGACAATTGTTACTTAGATACACCTCCGCTGAATGCCAGAACTGCATGACAGCTTTAGCCAGACTATAAGCAACTTTTTTAAGCTTCAAATGCTGATTTTGTTCTTCAACTCTTGATCGAGAAGTAAAAGCAACACGGCGACATATTTGAGCAGCAGCAGTCATCTTCCAGAGACGCTCCTATGAGGAAATATAATAAACAACAAAGCTTAAATAGAGATAAAGTTAAATATTGGCACTAATAGTGAGTTCTTCTTAAATGTACAACATAAATTCTTCAGGAGGAAAGAAAGATAATTGCGCAAGAAATTGCTTATGTAAAAAGTTAGACCTGTGCAAAATCATTTGCCAACCATGCCATTTCTTCAAGGACAAAATCCCAGTGAGATTTCTGATGACTCTCTGAGGGCACCGTTCCAACAGATAACTCAGCAATCCTCTTGCGCTTAGCCTGCATGCTAAACTATGTCAGATCTTTTAAATGCTTTTTGAAGAAATAGATGCAGCATGTTTAAGTGATAGTATGAAGAAACAACCTCTATAATCCGTGCCTCTTCCAAAACAGAATCTTCATGAGCCTTGTCTGCCAATTTCAAGTGTGTATCAGAACAAGATTGAGGGTCAAGGGCAGCAGAAGAGTTTTTCTCTGACAAGATAGGGTGGGGAAGCTCTTGAATCGATGGATCCATAGAGCCCTGGGGACCAATGGAGTAATTTTTTCCCCTGTTGGAATTTGAACCATCAGCCAACATGTTGCCCACCTTTATATCAGCCTCAGATGCAACGTCATCATTTTGTTCCACCCCTTCAAGATTAGGACACTTCACCTCATTTTGAGAGTGAAAACTTCTCATTTCTTCCTCATTTTTGACAGTAGAATCATTGCCAGAGTAGTTTTGATGCACCAAACCATCATTGATGGCAGTAACACATTCAATAGACTTGGTCTCTTTTTTTCATTTCCCATACTACCCAATGGTAAACTTCGTGCTCCTTCAAATTCTGATGATTCTTTCAAAAGTGTTTCATTAGTATCATCATTTCTACGATTAGCACACAAAACGCTGTCATTGTTTACATCCAAGCTTACGCTATTTTGGGTGCACGAGGAATCTGAATCAAATCCTTTAGTTCCCATTGATGTATTACCATTTTGACCTTCATTTCCATCTTTTTTCAAGTCACTAAAGCCATTAAGCAGACAAGGACCAGTTTCATTCTCAGCCTTTGTTGATTCAGCACAAGGTAGACCTTCAGGACCAGCTGAAATAACCTGCTCTTTTCCTCCATCATGATCACATTCCCTAGAAGCAATATCATTGGGTGCTTTCTCAGCATCAGCTTCTGAAGGTTGATCATGCTGGTTATCCCTTGAGACATTGGACTCTGTAACATCCAACCTATCTTCAGGCAGGTTAGCTACTGTTTTTGGAGCCTGCACACAATCAAGCTCCATGTTTGACTGGGTATTGGAAGCCTCAATCTGGGAAACCATGTCACCGTTTGAAGCTGTGGACTTTGGGTTAGAGACAGAAGTGATAATCTGGTCTTTATTATTGTCTGTTTCAGTTGCCAAACCCTTCACATCCCTTGCACCCCCACGAACCGGTAAGGAAGATCCATGACCAACTGAACTCTGAACAACATCAGTTGAACTTGATCGAGCACCATCACGATTTGGTCTGGACCTATTCCTTCGAGCATAAGGCCGAAAAATAGCAGAATCTTCTGATTCCTTGGCATTATGAGTCCCCTCCATCTGTGAAGACTGCTCTGATTGAGTGACATTATTCCTTCTACTAGGTTGTCTCGGTTTCCTTTCAACTTCAAGTAACTCATTTTCACCATCAAAATTGTCGGCACTATTGGGCTCACAAACTGCAGTAGCCCCTGGTCTACCACTACTTTCTACAGAATCCCCATGAGGTGATGCAGTCAGTGGAAAACTGCCTTTTGCTTCACTGTAATACGATATGGATAAAGGAAAATTGATGCAGGAGAAGCATTAGCCAAGTAGTAAACTATAAGTCAGTCAAACACCACAGCAAAAGGAATATACCTAGTAACAAACTGTTCGACATGATGATCTGTGAGTGAAGTAGACTGGACACTAACCGAAGCTGCATTCACAAATTTAAAATCCAAAGGATTGCCACCCTGCAATTAAGGAAGAATTTAGAGGGAAGCAAGAAAATAGCAAGAAAATTCAAAATAGCAAGAAAAAGCTCAGATTGGCATACTTTCTCAAGAAATTCTAGCTCCCTTCTCCGCTCCTCACGAACATCATACTCTTGTCTGTTAACATCAAATTATAGTTGTTATCAAGAAAATAATGAAAAAAAAAATCATATGTAGCAAAGGAAATGCAGAAATTACCGAAACTAATGGTAAAACACAAAAAAAGCATGCCAGTGTTACCTAAGTTCTGCCTGAGCCTTCTCAATTGCTGCTCGCCGCGGAGAGGGTTTTATACCAATACCAACTCCGCCATCAACAACCCCACCCATGGAATCAACCTCAGCATTTACTAGGAGAGCAGATCCTGAAACACATCCATGCATTCCTGCTTTGGTAGCTAGAAGCCTTCCACTCCTCCCATCAATTCAAAAAACTGTCAAATTCTTCAATTAGACACAAGAAAAAACATCAAAATGAAGTAAAGGGCAGCCAAGAATGAAAAAGCACTTTCCCTTCAGTAAAATGAAAATGACATTAGCATCATATGCAGGATGGATAGATCTTCTCATATAAGTGTATCAGTCTTTTCAAGTCCAAACAATTGGAAAATTGGAGGTTTGATTAAATTAAGTTTCAGGTGTATCAAAAAGATGACTACTCCGGAAATCTTATTATGGCTTATTCTAAACATTCAAGGAGCAATGCCAGGTAGCAAAAGCAAAATGTAAATGCACTAGATCTAGCCATCTATATCAGAAAGGTAATGTAATCCCACGAGAGCTATCAAACATCAACATCTCATCAAGTCAAACTAAGATGTCTTAATATAATATATTCTATCTTCATTCCACAAGCATGATAAGCTACACAGAAGCATGTTGACATTGACATTCTTGTGTTGATGAACTGACCTGGTAAATAAGTACTGCATGCAAGGAAAAATGCAGGAATTCAAATCTATGCAGCAGCTTCAAAATTATTTCTCAACATGCACTTAGAGCAAATTTACATCAGCTTCAAAAATAGAAAAAGAAACAAAAGAACATGCAGCAATGCTAATGTTATTGAAGCATGAAAGCTGAAAAACATATGATAGCTCCCTCAGTGTCCAAAACAGAAATAAAAATGAATGCCAAAGCAAGCCTAACAGAGAGCTCAAAAGGTTACTGTGCCAATTCCATAACATATGTCATTTGCAAATCAGCTTGCAAAATAATCCAGTTTTCAAAAAAAAAAAAAAAAAAAGAATTCTTTTAAACATTCTCCGCCCCAATTAAAATAAAAAAAATAAAAATAAAAAATCATAAGAAATAAAGCATGAATACATCAAACTTCAACAATGTTATTATTGTCATATGAATGCATTCATAACAATTATACAGTTTTTCTCTTTGCTAGCACAAATCCTGAAGCTTAAAGACATTCTGTTTCAAGCCATAAACATCTTTTGTAATCAACCCAACCAAATGATTCGCAAGGCCAATTATACAGCAGAGTTACTACGCTATTCTCCTTTGCAAACATCACGAAGCCCCACCAAACTTCCACAAGCAAACATGTATTAATCACCAAAAGTCAAGCAATCTGGTTCAAACAGGTTAGGATTCTAAAAGAAGCAAATACATTATCCATAAGTGTCCAGAACAACGTAATTAATGATCACATAACAACCAAATAAACGGACTTTCCACAACATACATGTCTATGCAAATAAGTAGCAGAAGCAGAAGCAGCAGCAGTGGGGCGAAATACATGAGCTCAAACGTCGTTTTAAATTCACACAGGAACAGCTATTCAAAAACTTAGAACCACTAGCTTACCAATTAAAGACACGAGCACACCAAGTTACTGCATTTAAATTCCCACGTTGACGCATACAAACATGACTTACCGTATAAATCCCTGAGCATTTAATCAAAATGCACAGCAAAAAGGAATTGCCCCAAACAAACAAACCCTAATTTCGCACAATTTTCAAAAATTCAACATTGCACCCCAATTCTAGGGTTTCCAAAGCAGAAGCAAAAACAACTGAAAACGTAAAGCAATAATCACCTGAATTACAAAATAGAGAAGCTAGGGCACGGCTTTTAGACAATTAGCAACGACCGAATTGCACTTTCTCTCTCCTAGGGTTTTTTTGGAAATCACAAAATCAAAACGAAATGAAATTTGCCCTAGAATTTAACAACTCGTTCGAAATGTTAACCATCAGAGCGTGTTATTCTGCCTCAATAATTTCTCTCTCCTTCTGTCTACAAATCTGTTCTCTGTTTTCTTTTTTTTTCCTCGGTTTATTTATTTATTATTTTTTTTATTTGCTCTCTCTGGTATTTTTTTGTCTTTTTTTTTCTTTTCGAAATCGAAGGGGGTACTATGCGAGACCTCTCCCTCTCTCCCCCTCGCTCTGCGTGGAGTAGTGGGCTTGGGTTTTACATTACATGAAGAAGACGACGATGATGGGCCTTTTGTTTATAATGCTGGACTTTTGCTATAAAAAATTGAATTGTTTCAGATTTTTTATTTTAGCAATTTTATTTTGGTTTGACCATGTTTTATTGTCGGATCAGTTTTAAGAATGAATCTAGATTATATCTCGTTAACATATGATTTCAAAGTTGCAGCTCTCATATTCATTTAATTAGCGCATTTAGAAAAATAAAAAATTCTTATGAGCATTACTCCAATATTCAAAATTAGGACATTATTAGTTTTTTTTATCAACGGTATAATGTGAATCGGACAAAATATATAAAATTATTTCAGTTTCATAATCTATTGTTTTATATTGTGAATCTATAAAAATATATAAAATCAAAGGTGAAAAAAATTATTTAAAAATTTTTAATAAAAAATTTATATTTAATTATTTCTTATTTATGTTTTTCATAATTTTTCCTTTAGAAAAAGGATTTATCCTTGTTAATCTATGGATTATTAACTAAAAATAAATAAATATTTTTTTAAAAAAAAGCTTTAGTGTTTTATAAGATTGTGTCGAAAAACAAAAATAACAATTATTAAAAGCCTACATAGAATTGAATAAATAATTTTTTTTTATTTTTATTTAATGTTGATGAGAATATCAGCTTTTTGAAAAAATATGAATTTAATTTGTATATATTTATTTACAAAAGAATGAATAATATTAAAATAAAAAACTATATTAATTTAAATCATTGAGTGGTTAAGCCAAAAAATAATTTTAATTATTTAATTTAAAATAAGTCAATTTTAAAACATTCAAAAATAAATAAGTGCTTAGCATAGTAGTTGCACGCTTAATTTCTAAAAAGACAATGATTCAATATTTTATATTAAGTGAGTTCAAAGTTTTCATGTGACACCCTCAACTTAGGACCTAATAAGTCGAGAATATTACCGCCGACAATTTACATTTGGAGTGCAATGAACGTAAGTTACCAAGGCACTCGTGACTTATCTATAGATCTAGATGGTACATCTACGTTGTGAAAGTTTACTAATTACGGTTAGGTTCTATGCCTAGTCTCAAATGTCCTATAAAATTTTTCACGTTTTACAATCCTATTTATGTTCTTTAAATCGAACTATCCAAATTTGTGATACTTGTTTTTCTTAAATTCATTTCTTCATTTAGTTATACTAATTTATTTGGTTATAATTTATTAGTTATTCTAATAAATCAGTATAATTTAGTTATACTAATTATTGTGCCGATAATTAATATAAACCATTACTATGCTCGGTAGTTCATTAACGAGTACTTTACTTACATACACATAAATATTTACATCGAAACTAGGTTATCGGTTTATTGCCACCTACTACAAAAATGACTTATTTCTTATTTACATTTGGCTTCATATCCCATTTTATTTATCGTATCATAGCTTTAAGGAGCGCATAACGTAACACGACCATGGCTATAAAGTAAACTAAAATACCTAGTACAACGAGAGTTACCGTATGTATCGAGTCCATACACCAACGACGACCAACATACAGAGCGACGGATGCCCTCTTCGATATTCGACTCAAAGGTTATGAAAACCATCTTTATCCGGGATAGCTACACCACAAACATATATATGAGTAATAACTTAGTAAGTTAACCTATGTATGTGCATTTGTATGTATGAATAAAACACCGATATATGTATAATAAATCCTTTTTTCTCATGTTATAAAACATTTCATAAATAGTTTGAAAATTCTTTTTCTATCTTTGGAAATGTCTCATTTAACTACTTCGTGGTTTCCATAATTTATGTCTCGGCGAACCGAACTCGTCTACGGATGTGTCCTATCGAGCCTTTAAAAGTGCACGTCCGCACTTGCACGACCTTGAACCATTACCATTACCGTATGAAAAACCTATGAAGCCCATCCTCAAAGAAACCTCAAAGTCATGAAAATCATTTTTCTTTAAATAATTCCGATTGTTATCGGAAACTCATAACATAAAATACATTTTCATTACTTAAAACATTATTCTTGAGCTTTGGCATGCATATGCATTCCGAATGACAATGCATGCTAACATCGATACCTAAGTGCATGTTCTAAATGGTCATGTAACCATCTCATGAAACACGTATAAAATTAGGCAACATAACAAGCATAATAACATTATCCCTCATAGATCATTCCAATCAACACATATCATATCATTACCATAACAAGGACATAACTTTACAAGTATCCACATTTCAACCATAAACAACACTTATCATTCAAATATATTAAATACTAATTCAAAGCACAACCAAGCTTAATACTACACAAAATGACTAAATTTAAACTTTTCTTCACATTAGGCTAACCTTTTATTCTATTGTTATTTAGTCATTTTCTTTTTCTTCTTAATACCCATTTTACATTTATGGTGTTCTAACTTAATTAAAACCTCCTAATTGTGTAATGATTGACTAATTATGGGTATTATGTTCTTATTGAGCCTTATCGGGCCCACCTTTCAACTTTTTCATTTTAGACCCATTCTTGATACCCACTAATATTTTTTTTTTATACTCTCATCAACCTTATTACTTAATTCTAACCCCAAATGGACCATTTGAAGGATTAACCTAAATTTCTCTCCTTTAGGCCAAATTTTTTTCTCATTTTCAAGTCCTCTAATTAAGTCTCATATGATCCTAAAATTTTAATACTTTGTAGCTTAAATATACAACAATTATATGGATCAATTTGATTAACATTTAGGATGCAAAATTCGCCCAAACCCATTTGGGCCTTAATGGGCCTAAATTGAGCCTAAGCCCATATAACCAAGTTTCTTCTATTTTCACCAAATTTTCCAAGTCATAAACATCAAAACATGCTTATTCAAATATGAATTAACCATCAAACCACAAACTAAATGCTTGGAATTCAAGTCCTA